CTTTCTTGGGATCATCGACACTTTCAGAACCAGACACTTTCGGGACCATCGACACATTCGGGACCATCGACACATTTGGGACCATCGACACATTCTCAGGACCATCGACACATCGACACTTTCAGGACCAGACACTTTCGGGACCATCGACACATTCGGGACCATCGACACATTTGGGACCATCGACACATTCGGGATCATTTCTCGGGATCATCGACAGATTCGGAACCATCCACACTTTCTTGGGATCATCCACACTTTCTTGGGATCATCGACACTTTCAGGACCAGACACATTCGGGACCATCGACACATTTGGGACCATCGACACATTTGGGACCATTTCTCGGGATCATGGACACATTCGGAACCATCGACACTTTCTTGGGATCATCGGCACTTTCTTGGGATCATCGACACTTTCAGGACCAGACACATTCGGAACCATCGACACTTTCTTGGGATCATCGACACTTTCAGAACCAGACACTTTCGGGACCATCGACACATTTGGGACCATCGACACATTCTCAGGACCATCGACACATCGACACTTTCAGGACCAGACACTTTCGGGACCATCGACACATTCGGGACCATCGACACATTTGGGACCATCGACACATTCGGGATCATTTCTCGGGATCATGGACACATTCGGAACCATCGACACTTTCTTGGGATCATCGGCACTTTCAGGACCAGACACATTCGGAACCATCGACACTTTCTTGGGATCATCGACCCTTTCTTGGGATCATCAACACTTTCAGGATTGACACATTCAGGAAGTGATTTCAGACCTGGCAGCGGCGTTGTTGGGGATGACCGTGACGTAGGTGTGTTTGGGCTGGGCTGTGGTGCAGAGGCTAACAGGGCCCTGCTGGTGAACGGGGTGCTGGCTGGACACAAGTCCCTCTCGTTCCTCCACCACCTCATCCTCCTCTTCATCATCAATCACTCGGATGTTTTTGGGCATCTCTTTGAACTGGTAGGCCAGCCGCTGACCCTCCACTTTGGCGAGGATGCCCCTCTGGTAGTAATACCTGCACACACAGAGATATAACAATAATTAGTTTAGTTTCAGGAAGTAAAAACAGAAATATTTGTACTACGGTCTGAAGTACTTGTATATTCAAAATGACTGACCTGAGGGCCCGGCCCATGGTCTCATAGTTCATGTCTGGTTTGTTCTTGTGTTTGCCCCACAGTCTGGACACGGCCTTGGAGTCCACCAGTTTGAAGATGCCCTTCTCCCTCTGCATCCACTTGATGTACCTGGGACAGGTGTTCTTATCCTGCAGCAGCTCCAGGAGGAACTCCCACAGGTACGTGGTGTTACCTGTAGACCACACACACCATGACAAACTCAACACCTGTACACACCAGTCCACATGCTCGACACGTCCACACGCTCGACACCTGTCCACATGCTCGACACGTCTACACGCTCGACACATGTCTACATGCTCGACACGTCTACACGCTCGACACATGTCTACATGCTCGACACGTCTACACGCTCGACACATGTCTACATGCTCGACACGTCTACACGCTCGACACATGTCTACATGCTCGACACGTCTACACGCTCGACACATGTCTACATGCTCGACACGTCTACACGCTCGACACATGTCTACATGCTCGACAC